AACTCTTCTTAAAATCAATTTGTACTGGTTGCTTGACGGCGAGGCAAGTATTTTTTAACACATACGCACTGCTATGGTTTTAATATTCATACCATTTTTTTTAAATTTTTGTTTGATGACTGGTGAATTTCTATGCCCCTCAATAGGAGAGAAGGGGAGCTCAAGGGCCAAGTGAAAATTAAAAGATCGCAAGGGCAGGGAGGACTGCATGGCAATGCTTACTCTTTTTTTTTTTTGAGACAGAGTTTCGCTCTTGTTGCCCAGGCTGGAGTGCAGTGGCGTGATCTCGGCTCACCACAACCTCCGCCTCTCTGGTTCAAGTGATTCTCCCACCTTAGCCTCTCGAGTAGCTGGGATTACAGTGCCTGCCACCATGCCCAGCTAATTTTTGTATTTTTAGTAGAGACAGGGTCTCGCCATGTTGGCCAGGCTGGTCTTGAATTCCTGACCTCGGGTGATCCACCTGCCTCGGCCTCCCAAAGTGCTGGGGATTACAGGCGTGAGTCACCACGCCCGGCCTTAAGAAGAGTCCCTGAGGCTGTGATAAGCTTTTCTCAAATTGTTTTTAAAGCCAGCTCATTTCCTGTGTGCTCACAATATCATAGAATAATCAGTGCGCTATCCTTGTATCCTCCAACTGAAGGATTTTTAAGGAACAGGAGGTCTTGGCAGAAGCCCCTGCGTTTGTTCACCGTTGTTTTCCAGGAGGGACATTTGCAGCCACTGAGGATAGTCAAGGGCATTCACCAGCTCTGAAAGCCCTGACACAAGGGGTTCCACACAGATGCAGGCAATTTATATCCTAACATCAGTAGAACATAAAAACTGTTAACATTGATAAAGCCTTGAATCTCTAAGCCTTTGAAAAGGACAACAGTATACATTTGAGCACATTTCCTACAAAAGAAAAAGATAGCAGCTATGAGTGTCTAGTTGCACCCCCTAGGAATACGCTGAGTTTTCTTGGGCTGATTTCTTGAAACAGTAAGGTATAATATCTAGAGCTGAACAAAACCATTTAAAATAGTGTAGACATTAGAACCACCTCTTCAATCACACAAGTCCTCACAGATTCATTAGAATAGAAGAAATTTGCAACATAACATGTACTTGATCTGGTCTAAGAACTCTAACTTCTCATAGTGGTTACACCTTTCAGCCTCTTTTCCCTCCCTGATTTTACTGATTATATTTTAAAAAATTGGAGACAAAGTAAAAGTTCTAGATTCCAAATTCTTTATATTAATTTTTTATATTTTTTAAAAACAGAGACAGGGTCTCACTTTATTGCCCAGGCTGGGCTCGAACTCCTGGCCTCAAGCGTTCCTCCCACCTTGGCTTCCCAAAGTGTTGGGATAACAGGCATGAGCTACTGTGCCTGGACCCCAATTCTGTATGTACTAACAATAGGCTAGGAAAACTTGAACTTCTCATTTCGTTATATTATTTGGGAGGGTGGTAGAGAACATTAAAAATTTTTTTCCTGATTATAAAGTTTCATGAAGATAGACATTTAAAAAATGATCTCATAAACATGCTTGGAAAATAATGAAAAGTATTAAGTAGAACACATTAAGAAGAAAACATACCCTTCTTTTTCCTTCTAAGACATACTGGGGGATGCAGATAGTACTCTGCCCCTTGGATCTCCTCTTCTTAAACATTCCTCCCCAGCCCCATCGAGTAAAATAAGTTATTTGGCTAAAAAGAACAGTGTTAACATCCTAATGACTGGATAGTACCTACCAGGCGAGAGTTTCTTTTCATATCTTTTAACTGAGCTGTCAACTTGTCCAGCTCCGTCTGGTGAACCTCCAGATATTCACTGCAAAGATAAGACAAGATGTAATCGTAATCTCTGTGCCTGTTAAGTGGAATCTGGTGCTGTTGCTGACTTTTCCTTCTCAAAGGGGATTAAGAATTGAACCTTGCTCTGTAGTTGGGGAGGACGCTTTGTATTTTCCCAATCTTTCAACATTTGGAAAGCTCTAGCAGTGGCACTGGATACTATCCAGCTGGGAAAGTAGAAAAGGAGAAAAAGGCTGAAAGTCGAGAAAAGAAAAACCAATGTGGGAGGCAAGGGGCAAGATGTCTGCAGAGTTAGCCCTGGCTCTGGCCTCACAGAATTCTATCTAGTCAAATAGAACAAATAGTGAATGTCCCACTGCACAGTAGGGAAGTCTTATTCTGGGTTCACAATCCCTGTAAGATATCAGGGAGGTTTCAGAACCCTCCTTCAGCAATCTCTAGAATGGATATGTCTGTCCATCATTGTTTAAGTGAAACTCAATACTGCACAGAGTTCCAGGTCTCCATCAATGTTATGAATATGATGTGGAATACCAACATATTTCCCATCTTTGGGACTTACGTCAGGCTTCCCTAATTGTGGTGCAAGAATAAAATACGTCCTACCAAAATATACATCTAAAAAATGATCTCATAAGACCAGCTTTTCTCTGACCCCTTGGGTCTTTCCTTAAAGTACATTATCAGGTTCAAGTTCTTACTCAAGTCCATTTTTCAAGGCCCTGTAGACTTCTTCCACCCTTTTAGGCTGAGGCTCTTTGGGGGGATTATTGTTTTTGTGGCCTAAATTGTGCATTTTCTTCAGTTTGGCCTGAGGCTTCTTGAGAGCGGAGGAATTTTCAATGAAGGAGTTACACCTATGGAAAGAAAAAAAGAACAGAAGAAATTGTGAGGATTGGGCTTCCAAAAGGATTTGACCAAAGAAAAATGTCTTCTATTATTTACTTATTTGTTTTAGAGACAGTCTTCCTCTGTCATCCAGGCTGGAGTGTGGTAGTGTGATCATAGTTCACTGCAGCCTTGAACTCCCGGGCTCATGAGCTCAAGCGATCCTCAGCCTCCCAAGTAGCATGTACCACCACACCCAGCTGAATAGTTTGTTGTTGTTTTTAAAGAGAGGGGGTCTCACTTTGGTGTCCAGGGTAAAGTGCAGTGGTGTGATCATAGCTCACTGCAGCCTTGAACTCCTGGGCTTGAGTGATCCTCCTGCCTCAGCCTCCCGAGGAACTGGGACCACAGGCATGCACCAGCATGCCTGGCTAATTATTATTATTATTATTTTTTGGTAGAGATAGAATCTGGCTTCAGGCAATCCTCCTGCTGTGGCCTCTGTTTTTAAAAACTTTTTTTTTGTAGAGATGGGGTCTTGCTATGTTGCCCAGACTGGCCTTGATCTCTTGGCTTCCAGCAATCTCCAGCATTAGACCCTCAAAGTGCTGGGATTACAGGCATGAGCCACTGCGCCTGACCAAGAAATGTCTTTGTAATCATCTTGTGTTCACATTAGTGTCCTTTGCAGAAGGTACTGTTCTCAGATCTGAGCCATCCTGCATTTAGTTTCTTAGTATTAGATTTGTTAACTGCTGAAACCAGAAAGCTTTGTTGGGCAGAGGCTACCTAGAGTCAAAGTCTGGCTTCAGGGAATGTGTATTCTGAGTGAAAATGTATTGCTTTTCTAAAACATCATAGGAAGTTAAGGGCAAAGAGCTCCAGGTGGACATAATGAACAGGCAGAAGGATATAATCTAACTAAAAAAATACATGTACTATGCAATTTTAGGTACAAGTGTCTATGAAATTCAACGAGGATGTGAATAAATCCTTTTCGATAAGGGACCATAAGCATGACAAATAGCTAATTCTATATGACATTAAAATACATGTAGCTTTTTTTTAAGCTTTATTTTTAGGAAGTAAATTACTGACCAGGTATAACTTATAAAATTTCAACATCTCTAGTAGTGTCAGGGATACAGCTTGCAGCGGTAAGATGGATATCTGATAACTTAAAACCAGAGTACCGATCTGATTAGGAGATGCAGAGGCTAGGCCACTCACTGACCCGGTTATCAGCAGGAAAGCCGAGATCGCCCAGGCCGGAAGCTGCCTACTGCACCCCTCCCAGGTTAGTTATTCGTTATAATCCCTGCCATCACCGTGTGCACAACTGGGACAATACAGGTCAAACAAAGCACATAGGGACCCTCAGAGGGCAAAGACCTTTATGACAACAGAAAAACTGACGATAAACTTGGTTACATGTTGCTTATTCACTATCTGTTCTTTCTTTCTTGAGTTCCCCTAAGTCCTGGTCCAGATGAGAGGAGATTCACAAAACTAGAAAGACTCACTTTGGCAACCCTGTCTGAATGACACCTGCTCCCCAGAGTCAATCTGCAGAGGCATAGTCATTATCCACTGCACGACTTCATAGCACACATAGTCTCCAAAGTCTGAGTGCAATGGAAAATGCGCTTCAAAAAGGGGTGGAAGTAGGGGTAGTGAGAGGTCTATGCATATATCACTGGTTTGTCCTAAATCCTTAGCCATCATCCTTGCAGGAGGAATTCTAAATGATAGAAAATAAACTATAGCACTTAATTTTTGGTACATCCTTTCCATAAAAAAGATTAAAATAGTGGGTGCGGGCTCAGGGGGAGGCTGATGAGGCCGAATGCACACAGACCCTCTTCACAACATCAAAGTTCACTTCCTTGGCAAGCTGCACCCCGGGAGAGAACCACACAGTACTTGCCTGGATCGCCTTTCCTGGAGGCCGCTGAAACCCGCAAAGGACTGGCTTCTAATGATCCCATTGGGCCCTCCAGGCGAAAAAGACTGGGATCCTACCAACATGATTTCCGGGAGTCTGGTCGGTAGTCCTAGAAGACAGTGGAAAGATCATGACAATTTACAAGCAGGTTCAGACAGAAGATGCACTAAGCTTGTCAATAATGATAAAGGCTGTAAAGTAAGCCATGAGACTGTTAAGTGCTTGTGAGGTTCTTTATTATGGAGTGTCCTGAAGACAAAGGGCTCAACTCTCAAAAGAATAAAAAAGATACCTATCTACCTAGATGAAAATAAATATAGCCGGGGCGCAGCAGCTCACGCCTGTAATCCCAGCACTTTGGGAGGCCGAGGCGGGTGGATCATCTGAGGTCAGGAGTTCAAGACCAGCCTGGCCAACCTGGTGAAACCCCGTCTCTACTAAAAATACAAAATTAGCCGGGCGTGGTGGCACATGCCTGTAATCCTAACTACTCGGGAGGCTGAGGCAGGAGAATGGCTTGAACCCGGAAGGCGAAGGTTGCGGTGAGCCGAGATCGCCCTACTACACTCCAGCCTGGGCAGAAAGAGCAAAACTCTGTCTAAAAAAAAAAAAGTAAATATAAATTATACAAAACTACAAAACTGCCCATCACTCTAGGTTTCCTTCAAGATTTTTTTTTTAAACAAAGTTCAACCACACCCTCAAAAACATGAAAACTGTTGCAACATTAACCTCCATTCAACAATAAAAACACACAAATAGGCCAAGTCAAAGTTTCAGATAAATCATGCATCAAACTGAAAACACAGTCAAGTCTTAAGGCGGAATTCTACACCTAGGGGTCACAAGGCTAAAACACTAGGTTTCTTTAGAGATGAACTTACTAAACTAGCTCTCCCTTTCTATCTTTAAGAATATTCTGAAAGGTAAGATTGTGCCACTACTATGACAGTGCAAAGTAAGAAGGGTAAAGGGAGTGCTCACAAAAGAAGTGATAATCTAGGTTAGATAAGAACACAAGGGCCAGGGGAACGTAAGAGGAAAATACAGCAGAAAGCGCACAACCTGTATTTCAGTCGTTTGCTTGGCTTTTGTGAGGACTTACCACAACAGACCAAGAAGCACTGTCAAAACACAACTTCAGCTGAACAGAAGCCCGGGGCTAGTTCCCCCAAAGGATGCCCCTGGAACTGTTAGGTAATTCTATTCCTTTTAGATCAGGAGTCAAAGCACATACCATTGTCTTAGCAGGTGACTTCAATCCAGAGAGGGGGACAGGCCAGCAGGAAAAAGGGGAAATAGTTACGGCCCAGATTGAAGACTCCAAAGTGGGCAGACACCAAATCGGTACGTTTGCAGAGTGTCGACAACTGCCCTTTAAAGACTCAATGAAAAAGAAAGAAAAGCTAAAAAACAACAGCGGCAGAACTCTCTGGTAGTACATCCAGATGTAATGGAAAGACCAATTTCACTAGACCTTCCTCAAAGCTGCGCGAAGCAGCTCAGGAAGGAAGGCAGTTTGAGCGAGTTACTTCCCCAGAGACAGAAGGACAAACAGACCCCTCCCCCATGCTACTGCAGGTTTTTAAATCCCCTCCCTCCCTCTCCAGGAGAGAGCAGCCCTGGAGTTTGTATGCATTCTTGCGAGGTACAGGTGCTGACTCACTTGGCTACAGGTCTGGCAATTGGTTGCTCTTTCATCCGGGTGAGATGCAAATCCCACACTAGCTGGGGAGGAGCAGCTTACATTTTAGGGCATTCTCCAGAATTTTAGAAATAATGAAGAAGTATGAGCAGTAAAAGTAATAAGTAGGGCACAGATGGTTAGACAAAATGCAGGTGCAGATAAGGTTCTCTCTGGTTACTTCTCCCCAGCCTCAAGGCTCAAAAAACTCCTAATTCTGTTATAAATAATTTTTTGATACCACAAGGAAATAGCATTTGAACATAAATTTAATTTTCTCAGCAAGGCAATTTTTACTTCTATAGAAGGGTGCAACTTGCGAATGGAGTAATGGTGAGAGCACACCTGGACAGGGGAGGGGCAGGAGTTCTTATTCCTGATGCAGGGCCCTACTGCTGTGTCATTCCCCTATTGGCTAGGGTTGGACTGCACAGTCTAAGCCAATTCTGATTGACTGTTTTAAAGAGAGTAAGGGTATGAGCCAGAGTGGTGGGGTGGGTAGTTTGGCAGGAGGGATGGTTAGAAACAGGTAACTAAAGGTGACTTAGGTCAGAGCAGGTGACCAGGTGTGACTCAAGTCAAACAGGTGACCAGGATGAGTCAGGACGGAGCAGGTGACCAGGGGAACAAATGTGAACTACTGATTAGGACTGGTGGTAAAGCTATTTACTGAAACTAGGAGCAAGGAGAGAAAGACAACCAGAAGGTTAAACTTTAAAATGGAGAATCAAAGAATAAGAGAGGTGAACACACTGACATACTGATTCTTCAAAGAGAAACTTGGGGTTCACTATATTTAACAATTCCTTTAAATCCTTAATGAGGTTCTCCTCCGTGCTCTCTGCTGGTTACTAAGAAATCTGTCTACATTTCTTTGAGGGGACCTTTCTTAGGTTCATAAAGCATGCCTGTGGTATCACTGTATACCATGCAAACTTCTAATAAACTATAGTGCTTTCTTGATATTTCTGTTCTTTCTGTACTCAATTTGACAACCAAGCACCCACCTTAATGTCTCAATTTGGTAAATTTTAGTATTCTATCTTATTTTGTAAATTATTGTTCAATATATCTATTGTATCACAGACACTCTTTGATCAAAGGAAAAAACTTAGAGTATTTGAAATATTTAACTGTATAGTTATCTCATACCTCCTAGAAATTATATTTTTCAAGCCAATTTTCCCCCTCTTATCCATTGGATCACTGTAGTTTAAATTACTGATGGCTGGCTCCTATCCCCAGGCACTGTTTAATTAATATGGGGTATCACCTGGGTATGGGGAGGTGCGTAAAGTCCCCAGGTGATTCTGATGTTCATCAGTGTTTGGGAGGCACTGACTTCAGAGTTTTGATTGAACAATCAGTTGCACTAGTGATAGGCAGAAAAAAGAGGAAAGAAAAGAAAAATACCAAGTTCATTGCAAATTTAAGACTTCTGTTAAAATAATCTGCTACAATTAATCAATTCCAACTCTTTCACTAAATGAATTAAACACTGGAGAGTAAAACATATGTACCAGATTGTAAAATAATTTTCCTTCTTCCTCATTTTTTGTAACAGGTGAACAAGGTTCTCAAAATCAGAACAAATGTCTGTCCAGGATCCTAAGATTGTCAAATGCTTTGGGAGGGGGAATAATGCTCAGAAACTTTTCATTAAATTTATGGTTGGGCACAGTGGCTCATGCTTGTAATCCCAGCACCTTGGGAGGCCGAGGTGGGTGGATCATCTGAGGTCAGGAGTTCGAGACCAGCCTGACCAACATGGCAGCTATTGAGATTACAGAGGCTGAGGCAGCAGAATCGCTTGAACCTGGGAGGTGGCAGCTGCCGTGAGACAAGACCACGCCACTGCACTTCAGCCTGGTGACAGTGTGAGACTCTATCTCAAAATAAATAAATAAATAATCAAGAAACTTTTCACTAAATTTACATATGGAACTGACGGCCACTAGGAATGTGACTGGGGTGAGCAGTTTTGTTTTGTTTTGCCTTTGTTGTCTTAGAAATGATCATTATCTATCAGGAAAGAATTTGGCCCAGAGCTGGTTTAGGCTGAGATCTCTCTGTCTTGACATCAGTTCCCCTAAAAGGTGACACATGGCCTAAGGAGAGTCATAAAACAAGCATGCACACACACAAAGTCTGGCTCTGGATGAAATAAAAGGAGGAGGTTGGGGTAGGGTAGTGTAGAAGGTATTAGGGACAAAAGTATACAAAACACTCCCTTCCCCAGACCTCCCAAGTCTGATGGAAGGGTGGTAGTTTTTTGCTGCTATTCTTCCAGCTTCCCCAGCTCTTCTCCAGTTGCAACGGATCTTGCACCTCTTCGTTATCAACTGTCATTCTATTGACCAGTCCACTCCTACCTCTTAGCGCCTTATATCTTTAGGTTGTTCCCTGGCTTCCTAGAAGTCCCAAAGACCTGGTCTGTCCCCAGCTTTCAGCAAAACTGCCTCTAAAATTTTCAGGTTTGAAGGATTTCATTGCCCCTGCCAAAGTAATCTGCATTTTAATAGCCGGTGCTCCACTGAACCAAAAGCCTTAACCTAAAGAAAGGACTACAGTAGAATTGCAGTATTACCGCCGGTAGGGATGTAAAGTGGAATTAAATTTTTGAAGAACAATTTGGCAGTATCTGTTTAAGCTGCAAAACATACTAATCCTTTAACGGGGCACTTCTTTGATAGCTCTTCCAGGGAAATACCCAAATGGATGAAGAGGCATATACAGGGATATTCATCACAGGCAATGTTAATAGTAATGGAAAAATAGGAAATGATATAAATGTTAGTCATTACAGGAATGGTTGACACTCAAAATTATGGGAGAGAACATTATGTAGCAGTTAAAAACAACATGGCCACATAGAAAGATCCTCAGGATAAATTGCAGAATGAAACAGAGTGTGATAGCAGGAATGCTAAAAACAAAACTATATAAAACTACGAACACAAATAGAAAAGTTCTGAAAGTATACAGAGTCTATGGAGAGGTGGGATTGAGTGGTAGTCAGAAACATTTTAATTTTTTCTGTATTGTTTTTTTTTTTTTTTTTTTTTTTTTGAGACGGAGTCTCGCTCTGTCGCCCAGGCTGGAGTGCAGTGGCCGGATCTCAGCTCACTGCAAGCTCCGCCTCCCGGGTTCACGCCATTCTCCTGCCTCAGCCTCCCGAGTAGCTGGGACTACAGGCGCCGCCACCTCGCCCGGCTAGTTTTTTGTATTTTTTAGTAGAGACGGGGTTTCACCGTGTTAGCCAGGATGGTCTCGATCTCCTGACCTTGTGATCCGCCCGTCTCGGCCTCCCAAAGTGCTGGGATTACAGGCTTGAGCCACCGCGCCCGGCTGTATTGTATTTTTATACAGAAAATGTATTTGTGTATTATTCGTATAATGTAAAATTCTGTTTTGAAATTGCAGAC